AGTTCACAGTTAGTGGAGGTTTCTAAACGTACTTGGCTGCTCCAAGGCAGAGGGCCTGTGGCAGAGCGCAGCTGTTCATGGCAGTGAAAGAGCCGAGGGAGGAGTAAGTAGCTGGGGTAGCCAGTTAGCCTCTCCCTCCTCCTCACTCTGTGTGCAGATTATCCATCCCAGGGCGGCTGTAGCCCTCACCCATAATCCCAGCATTGGATCAGGGATTAATCACAAATTCTAGAAGCCGCCTCATGACTGCATGAGGCTTTGGGGGACACCCAGACACAAGCCATAGCTGTTGCACCTCTCCCACAGCTGTCTTCAGGATTATGTGTGTCTTTTGCTTTTCTGCATACAGCTCAGAATCAGTTTGTTGACATCTGCCAACTAGCTTGCTAAGATTTTAGCCAGGCGCAGTGGCGCTCGCTTGTCCTCCCCGCAGGCAGGAGGCCGAGCCCAGATGTCCGCTGAGTTGGAGGCCACTCTGGGCTACATAGTAAAACCCTGTTTCAAAACAAAACAAAATTGTGAGGATCATTGCCCTGAACCTGTAGAAGAAACTGGGGTGGCCCCCCTTCCTGTCCACAGACTCCGCCTACTTCTCCCTGTACCTTTTCCTCATGTAGACCTTTCATGAACTAGTTGCACCTACACCTACATCGCGACGGGGTTGCTGATGGCAGTGGTGCTGAGCTTCAAGTTCGAGTCCCCTCGTAGTGTGGGTGACAGGAAGACACCTGCCTTCTGTGTGTCGGCTTGTGTCAGCAGCCAGGTCACTCTGTGGCCGCAGGTGCAGACCCCCTCGGCCCCGTCTCAGAGGGCCGTGGCCGCCTGGGAAGCAGAGTTCAGGAGCCACACAGGCAGGACACAGCTAGAGGAGGCACTGGGCGTCCTGAGTTTGAGCCCCGTTTCTTTGCCTGAAGGTCTTTCATACAAGACAGACGTCTCCTGTCGGAAATTCTGAGAGGGAGTTTCTGGTTGCAGTGGAGTTCAGATGAGCGATACCAGCGCCCCGCACGGTTTTAGACCCCAAAGCCCTGCACAGCTAGGATCTGCCAGGAAGGCAAGGCACATGAGGTGTATGGATACTCTCTGTTTGCTTTTTCTTTTATTTTTTCAGGATCTCGGTACACAGCTCGACCTCACAGTGATCCTCCCGTTTTCTGCCTCCCTAGTGCTGGGATTACAGGCGTGCGCCCCGACTTTCTGTTCCTTGAACTTTCGACTGTGCAGTTTGTCCCATTCTGCTCTGCTTTTCCCACGTCATGAGACCCATCTTGCTCCCGTAAAATCCCTTTGGTGTCAGATGAACGTCAATGTTGGCCTGGCTTGGTGTCTGCTCCGGGTCAGGCATCTGTGGCCAGAGCGAGGGAAGGCGTGTGCGGGCGTGTGCACTTGTGCCGCTGCGGCGAGGGGTCTCACGCCGCGGGCCGGGGTCTCGACCTCACCGGCCACTGACTTGGGCTCGGGCTCACTGTCATTGTTTCCCTCCTCTGCAAATGAACCTGGCTGTACTTGGGAAACTGCGTTCCTGGCCTGCGGGGCGTTTGTGTCCCTGTTAAAAGGCACTTGAATTTGGAAAACCTGCAAACGTTAAACGTTGGCTAGAAACTGCTCCTCTTGTGTCAGCATGGGTCTGGTGGGAGGACCTGCCAGCCCGTACCCTGACTGCCTCTCTCCTGGGCACCAGAGGGGGGCGCTGCTCCCCACTCACAGGCCAGCCCCCCCCCCCCCCCCAGCTGCTCCGCCCGGAGGGGCAGAGGTGGGGGCCAGGCTTTGGCTTGGTGTCCAGGCAGCAGAGTCTTGGGGACACTGCTCCAGGGCAGGGCCGAGGCCCTCCCCACAGCAGCAGTCCGTGTTTCTTCCTAAGCGCCTTGTCTCATCCAGGTTGATCCAGTAAATGTTTAATTACTGCGTGGACGAGTGAAGTCCTCAGTCATGATGAAGTACTGTGGTGGCCTTGGTCTTCAAGATTAAAGTGCCTTCCTACTCTGACATGCCGCTTTTAGGGATGCTTTTCCACTTTTTTTTTTTTTTCAGAATGGGGATTGACCTCAGGCCCTTGCGCTTGCCAGGGAAGCACTTATTCCACTGAGCCGTCTCCCCAGCCCTTTTTCTACCTTTTTAAATAGCATGTGATGGGTATTAACTTTCTCCCCCAGTGCTGGGGATTGAGCCCAGGACCTGTGCAGTGAGCAGCAGCCCTGTGCTAAGGGTCTTCCCCAAGTTGCCAGGGCTCCAGCTTGCCATCCTCCTGCCTCAGCCTTCCGGAGGGCTGAGCTTACAGCTACGCACCACCACACCCAGTTTAAATATTTATTTTTTGAGGTGAGTCTTCTGAGAAACAAGACATGGTTTGGCAGCTGGTGGCCATACGCGTTACCCTGAGCCGGTCACTTGGTGCGAGCCGGTGGTGCAACTGCTCTAGCCTTCGAGACCGCCTGTGTTTCCATTCAGGCTTCCTGCATCATGGAAAGACCCAGGCATGGTCCTAGTGAGGACTGTCCACCCTCAGGTGTTGCACAGACCGTGAGCTGCAGTTGTGTAGAACAGGAGCGAGACAACTGCTGTGTCTGGACGGTGGAGCTATTCTGATGGGAGGGGACTGGACGGGTCTTGGTTCTAAATTGAACTGCACCTGGGTCCTGATTCACTCAGATCCGGCGCTCCCGGCCCCTCGCAGGACCTTTGAGCTCACCGTGTGCTCTTTCCTCCCAGCTGAGGATTCTGGGCCTAAGGACAGCGGTGTTGTTAGCTCACAGTGACCAGAATAAATTCTGCCCCACCCCCCTAATCTGCTTTTGCTGGGTACAGCAGCCCTTAGGATTCTGTGCCAGCCTCTCAAACAATTTCTGCTTGTGTTTGCGGCTCCCTTGGCCGAGGAATGTAGGATAATCCTGAGAAGAAAGGGCTTTTCTCGACATCTCTGTTTCTCAGAATATCGTGGGTGTGCTTTTCACCTCAGCCTCCCACAAGTCCTATTTCTAGGTGACAGTCACACGCAGCGTTACTTAAACTTAAAAAGGGAAATAGAGTGTAGCAAAGAAAAAGGAGTTTCTTGTCCATCTAGTCCCCTGCACAGCTGCTCCAGCTGGGAAGGGCAGGCCCAGATGGCATGTCCCCGACCACAGCCAGGCGACACCCGGAGACTCGGGGTCCACCCAGTGGGCGGTTCTTCTGTGTCCCCTTTTGCACAGTGGGTCTCCCTGTGCTTTTTATGAACATGCCTTAGGCTGTGGTTTGCGGAGGCTACACAGAGGCCCTGGTGGGCCTCATGTAGTGATGAACAGTCTGTCTGTTGAGTCTGCCTCTGAGAGCTGTGTGGGGATGGAGGAGGGGCTGGGGGCAGGATTTCATTTCTTGCTCCTGAGCCCTCCTGGGCTGTGGCCCACAGAGGAACTCCCGGAAGGGGCATCCCATCCACGCCTGTGCCGGGATGCTGCTTTCCTGGGTGGCCGGGCCCCTGCCCATGGCACCAGGAGGTCCCCACGCGCCAGCTTCCTGCCGGGCTGGGGACTCAACCCTCCTGCCAGAGAGCCTTGGGTGAGGCCCACAAGAGTGCCTGGGCTGGGATGCAGCAGCCCAGGGTGCCCTGTGACGCTACCCCGTGTCAACGCTGTGGGCTCCCCCGAAATTAGATCACAGACGCGAGCTCTTTCGTAATTGTGTGGTCTGCACAGCAGCTGTCAGAGGGGACCCGTCACCCTCTTCCTCGTTTCCCGTGTCCTGGCCACCTTGCAGCTGCTGGGCAGAGCCCACACATTTTCCTTTATCCCTCTGACCCTAGCCCAGTCAGCCGTATTCTCCTCCTCCAATTATCTGCTAAGCCTTTTCCATGGCGCTGTGTAGTTTTCCTGATTACCCTTTGCTGGGTGCTTGGGTTTCATGGAGGAGACGGCATTAACCCTTCACTGGGCTTTGAACACTCACTGTCTTCACGTCTCCAGCTGTCATCTGTATGTGGGGGACACTGCCCAAAGCCTGTTGCTTCGCCATGCAGTTATGGGGGCTGCCCTTTGAGCCTTCTCAGAAGAGGACCTCTGGGTTCTGTCCAGCTCTTTCCAGACTGTGTTCAATTTTGTATTTTTTTTTTTTTTTTTTTTTATGTATTTGGTACAGGGTCCACAGGGTCTCACTACACAGATTGCACTTATGATTGGCCTGTTTTTAGCCTCCCAAGCACTGGGATTACAGTCGTGTGCCACCACGCCCAGTCTCAGTCGCCATCTCAGTGCGCTCCGAGGGCGGAGCTGGCATGGCAGGCTAGAGATTGAACCCCGGCTGCTGCACTCTACCTAGGCAGGCACTTTAGTCCGCTGAGCTATCTGGTCCGCCCTGTATGGTTTTTTTTTTAAGACAGAGTCTTGTTATGTAGCCCAGGCTGGCCCCAAATGCAGAGCGAGCCTCTTGCCTCAGCCCCCAAGTGCTGGGCTGACAGGTGTTTGCCACCGTGCCGGCTTTATTGCAGAACTTAAGAATCAGGATCTTTCTCATGAGAGTAAAGGTAAAAATCAACCAAAGCTTATGGAAAGTAGTCTGTGTCCGGTGAAATCCCTGTGTTCACAGTGAACTCAGAACGTCCTGGGTCTTTGGTTTGTGTCCTGTTTTGCAGTGGTGGGAGGGAGCGGGCCTGGGGGGTGCTCTACCTGAGCCTTCCTGTGTTCCGCCTCAGGGACAGAGCCCTTCCCTACACGTTTCCCCTTGGCTGGGGGGTTCTCTCAACTCCCCTCCAGCTGTCCCTGGCCCATGTCAAGGGTCTTCTGGCTCCCGCAGAACTGCAGCCCCAGCCCATCTCCCTGCCTCATCCTGGAAACGCTGCGGGCTCACAGAGTAGCAGGGTGCTTCAAAAATGAGCACCTGGGAGGCTGAGGCAGGAGGGTCGCTACAGGCGTGAGCTGTCCCAGGGCACACACAGTGAGACCTGGCTTCAGAGGAGCAGCAGAGAACAAAGGCCTGCGCAAGCCGGGCACGTCCCCGACAGCGTGGCCGACGTGTGCCCTTGTCCTCAGCCTGCAACGTGTGGTACCTGAACTCCGTGGAGATGGAGTCCCTGACCGGGCACCAGGCGGTGCAGAAGGCACTGAGCGTGACCCTGGCGCAGGAGCCGCCGCCCGAGTCCACCGTGGTGCACTTCAAGGTGTCAGCCCAGGGCATCACTCTGACGGACAATCAGAGGAAGTGAGTGGGGCTGGGCCCCTGGGGAGTGGCAGGGCCCCGGGTGGGGGTGTGGGGCAGCACCCTCATGGTGAGCCATCCTTGCGGTCACATGACCCAGCCTTGGTTGCTCGCCCAGTCACTGTGGCCTCACTTCAACATTTGTCCCAGAAAGCTTTTTTGGAAATCAGTGTTTAAAAAGAAAGGCACCGTGGCACACACCTGTCAGCCCAGTACTCTAGAGGGCTGAGACAGGAGGGTTGCAGGAGGGTAGAGCCCCAGAGCAGGTAGCTTACTGACTCAGCGTTTCCGGTGCTGGTGAAGGAGCAGCCCAGGCAGGGCCCTGCCCACTCCACGGCCCAGCCTGTCCTCCACGCTGCTGCCCTGGTCCAGCCTGGCCCTAAATAGGTGCCGTCTTCCTTCCTCACACTGTGGAAGTCGCAGGCAAAAGATGAGGTGTGCTCGGGTGGGTTTTGTATTCCTGCTTTCAGGGCTGAGACCAGGTGCAGGGGCAGGCCTTGTGGGGCTTTGTGGTCGGCTAAGAGTTCTCCCCTATTCCCAGGAGAAACTCTGAAGAGGCTCTGACTCCCTAACGCCTGATTCCTTCATTTTTCAGACTTGGCACCAAAGTGCCAGCCTAGGCCTGGGCCACTCAGGTGCCAGGGGCTGTGGGCAACCCCTGTGCTCAGGGCTGTGGCGTCACTGCTGCCTCTGGGATCCTGTGGTGTCCTGCTTCAGGTGCTTGGGTCCCATGATGCCTTCTTAGAGATGGGACCCTAGCACCACGACATAGCCTGGAGGTGCTTCTTGGTGCCCCTCTTTGCCCTCTGGTCCCCAAGGGAGCCTTTTAGCTTTCTCTTTAGTCCTGGGGTTCAAACCCAAGGCTTTGTAGTGAGCTACATCCCCAGCACTTTTTATTTTTGAGATATAATATTCTCTTAAATTTCCCAGGCTAGGCTCAAACTTGTGATCCTCCTGCCTTAGCCTCCCAGAGTGCAGAGATGACAGGTGTGAACTGCTGCCCAGCTCCGGGGGCTCCCAGCTCGAGGCCACCCCCAGCTTCCGGGGCTGACTGTTCATCCCCTGGATCTGTCCTGTCCACTCTGTACCCTCCGTCACCGAGCATACTTTGCCCCCTTCCCAAGGCCCCAAGGGGGGCAGAGGGCGCTTGGCTCCCTTAACTGTCCTCCCTGTCCACAGGCTCTTCTTCCGGCGGCACTACCCCGTGAGCAGCGTGATTTTCTGTGCCTTGGACCCTCAGGACAGGAAGTAAGAACCCCGCATTTTCCTTGGGCTCTTGCACGGGGGAGTCTCATGCACAAAGTTAACTCCTTTCTTTTCTCTTTAATTCCCAAGGTGGACCAAAGATGGCCCCTCCTGCAGGTAAGTCCCCAGCGCCATTTGCATCCTAATTTGTAATCCTACTGCAAAGAGGATTCCCCACACAAAACAGCTTGGTTTGTCTGTGTGCTTCTTTGCTTGGTTTCTGTTTTGATTTTTGGAGGTGTTTTCTTGTACAATTCATGCTGACCTTGAGCTCACTTTGTAGCCCAAGCTGGCCTCCAATTCATGGTGGCTCTCCTGCCTCAGCCTCCCGAGGGCTGGGATTACAGGTGTGCCGGCTCTTGCTTGTTCTCGGGAAAGCATCCTGGCCTCTGGACCTCCTGCTCAAAGGCTCAGGGCTGTGGTGCGAGCTTAGGGCTTCCGCCCTGGCTCCTTCGTCTGTGCCCGCATGCGAGGGGGCACCACTGACGGAAGCATGAGGGCCCCCATGAGGGCAGGGCCTGCAGGTCTCCAGCCCCTCTGGCCACCCAGCCTCAGCTTTCATCTGCTCGGAGTCCGCATCTCCATTGGGTGGCTGCGAGGCGCGGGCTGGTGCCTTCCTTGGTGTGGAAACAGGGAAGCGGGAACAAAGGGGCCTTCATTTTCTAAGAAGGAGAAGAAAACCCTTGGCAAGAGCCTGCAGCGTGGAGAATGCCTGGCACTGTGCCGGGCTTGGCCTCCGAAAAGCCTGTTAAGGCCACGGCTCCAGCCTCAGCACGATGAGATGTGCTGTTCTAGTTACTGTGTGTGGTGCAACCGGGGACCGCACCGGGGCCTTCACGCCAGCCTCCATCCCAGTCCCCCTCCATCCACTACCTGTTTTTAAGTTTTGAGACAGTTTCGCAGCGTTGCCCGGGCTGTCAGGCACAGCCGTGCACACCATGATCCCAGCACTCGGGAGCCAGCAACAGAAGGATCACCCTGAGTTCATGGCCAGTCTGGGCTACATAGCGAGACCCTGTCTTTTTTTTGTTTTTAATTTTTATTTATTTATTTGTGTGTGTGTGTGTGTGTGTGTGTGTGTGTGTGTGTGGCCAGCTCAGCCCACCAGGGGGCGGGGCTGGCTGGCATGTGGTGCTGGGGGACCGAACCACAGTCCCTGTGCCTTGCCAAGCTTGTTCTAAGGAGGTGCTTTAGACCACTGAGCCATCTCACCAGCCCCCGAGACCCTGTCTTAAAAAAACAAAAAACAAATAAATTGCCCAGGCTACCTTGGGATGCTCCTGCCTTGGCCTCCCACGCAGTGCTGGGATTATAGGCGTGCATCGCACGCCTGGAGGCACTGGCCATTTCCGCCTGCTTCCTACCCTGGCCACAGCTGGCTGAGCAGGCTGGCTGGCTGTCCAAGTCTGCCTGCAGGGTGCTGGGAGCCTCTGCCTTGGGGTGACTTAGGCTGGGAGCCCCTGCTTGGAGTGCCAGCTCTTTGCCACATTAGTTTAATCCTGTTCCCTCTGTCCCCCCCCCCCCCAGAGTCTTTGGGTTTGTGGCTCGCAAGCAGGGCAGTGGCACGGACAACGTGTGCCACCTGTTCGCGGAGCACGATCCCGAGCAGCCTGCCAGTGCCATCGTCAACTTCGTGTCCAAGGTCATGATCGGCTCCCCCAGGAAGCTGTGAGCGCTGTCGGCCCGGCACGGAGGCGGCCACAGGGGACCTCGTGCCTCACGGCCAGGACCGCACACGGGGTCTGCCTGCCCCAATCCCCAGGGGAAGGGGTGCAGAAAGCATCCGAGGGCACCGAGGAAGCCCCTTGCCTCCTCGGGGCAGAAGCAGTCCTGTCCGGCAATACCTGGGCCCAGCACAGCCTCGCTTTGGTCTTCACCCAGAAACACCGACCACACAGAGGATGAGGTGACCGATGGTTTTCGTAGGTCAGGCCTTGTGGAACTGAGTGACGACATAACCGAGGGGACAGTGTGGGCTGTGGGCTGTGTTGTGCGAGGACCGGGGCAGTAGCAGCCTTCTTGCATCCTGGAGGAGCACGAGGTGACGAAGTTGCCCTGCCCCACCGTCTCCACGCTCCAGCCTACATTCCCGAAGCGAGCGGTGCTGGGGAGCACCTAGGAGGACCTTGAGAGAAGATGGAAGCAAAACGTCATTCTGTGTAATTTATATTTTACGTATGCCAAATTATTTATAACGCTTTGCCACGCATCGCTGCCCAGCCCGTGTCAGGTGGTGGAGCAGCCGAGTGCCGCCCGCAGGCTCCGGAGCTCCTGACCTGCCCAGCGCTCCGTCCGTCCCGGGCCGAGGAGCGGCACCGGCTCGCACCCACTCACGCCTGGGTGGCCGCCTAGAAGCACAGGCGCGGGGCGCGGCCTGACCTTCCCTAGGCGGGGCTTTGGGGGAATGGGTGCCTTAAGCCTCGGGGCTGGGCGGTGATGCCCGGCTGCCCCTGGCCGCAGGCCGCCCTGCCCAGCACCGCCGCCCCGGAATCGGCCCCTCCGCCCCGAAAGCACAGTCCACCTGCTGCCTCGCCAGGGGCGCGTCGGGACCAGGCGCGCGTGCAGGAGCTCGTGCACGCCCCGCCCCCACAAGTGCCTGCTTCAGTGCCAAACTTCGCCCCGCCCCGCGTCCCCTCCGGGTGTCGCGAAGAATATGCCCTATGTACATGGGTGTGCTGTGAGGCCTTTGTGTAGTCATGGTCTCTGCTCTTTAAATACATTTCGATGAGAGTCTAATAAAGATTGCTACGCGCTTGTGAGCCCGGGGAGGCGAGTGCCACGTGTCTGCTGCGTGCGTGGGTGCGTGGTGCGCTCCGTGTGATATGCGCATGCGCGCTTGCTTGTGTGTGCGCGTGTTTGGGGGTGTGCGCTTGCCTATGTGTATATGCATCCGCGTGTGCGCCTGCACACTCCCACGCTTTGTAGTCGGGGACACGCCTCGGAGCTGGGCGTGAGGCTGCACGTCCGTCATCCCACCACATTGGGAGGCTGACGCAGAAGCCCAAAAGTTCCAGGCAGCCTCTGCAATTTAGCTACTTAGTGAGACCGAGTCTCAGAAAATAGACTGTGGGTGTATTGAAAGCCTGGGTTCAGTATCCAGTACTGGGGGGCGCATGCATTTATGGTCACTGCCCTGAGACCTCCGAAGAGTTCCGTTCAGGGAGAGGCTGTGCAGAGAAAGTCAATTTCTTGGCGCTGGGGGCAGAACCTGAGGCTGTCACATTGAGCTGTATCACCACCCCTTTTTAAAAATTTTGAGACAGATGTGGCCACTTTGCTCACATGTGGCAGTAAGACCTCCCGACTCGGCCTCCCAGAGTGCTGGGATAACAGGCATGCATGGTGCCGGAAATCAGCCCACAACGCGAGCAGCCACAAGGACCCGCAGGGCTGTAGGTTTGATACCAAACCAGGCATGGTGGCGCAAGCCTGTGATCCTATCACTTGGGAGGCTGAGGCAGGAAGCTCGCTATGAGTCTGAGGCTACCTTGGGCTGCTATGGCCCTGTCTTTAAAGTAGACAAACACTGATACCAGACGTGGTAAGTTGCATACTAGAACAGCCAGACAAGCTGTTACAAAAACTACACAAAAATAAATTCAGGGGCCAGGGAGATGGCTCAGTGGAATAAGTGCTTCCCTGGCAAGGGCAAGGGCCTGAGTTCAATCCCTGGTTGGGGGGGGGGGGTGGATTCAACTGCACTAAAGAAATCAAGATCTTTTATAAAAACATACTAGCAACATTCAAAGGTAAGATGATAGAGGCAGGAAAACAAATGAGACATACCAACAAATCAATAAAAGGACACTGGCCTTAACGTATCAACAATTACATTTAACTGTAAATGATCAAATTACACCAATCAAAGGCAGAGATGGGCAGAGGGGAAAACATGACCTAGTTTTCTGCAGTTTATAGAATCTTCAGATTCAGTGACGTGAGTGGCTGGGGAGTGAAAGGTGGTGATGAGTTAGTCGGGGTGCAGAAGCCACTGGGTACCTCTCCAGTTGGGCTAGGATGTGAGAAGCATCAGTGGCCCTGTTCAAGGGGCCAGCATTGCACAGGTGCCGAGTGTTAGTCCACGCCGGCTGAAGAGGGCTTCCCTGGGGCGTGGTCTGGGTGAGTGTGGCTGCTGTTCGGGCCTTCCTTCTGCTTCCAGCCCCGTGAAGCTACCTGCTCTCCTCTGCCAGGACACTGTGCCCCACAGCTGGGACCTTGGGCTGAAACCTGAGCCCGAATCACATGTTGAGTTGCAGATGTGATGCAGTTTGTGTCAAGCAAAGTGATTAAAACATACACCCAGGGCCGGCCTGTTGCTCAGCGGACTAAAGAGCCTGCTTAAGCAGCGCGCAGCAGGGATTCCACAGTGCTGGAGCCGGCGCGGTGGCGCGCGCCTGTAATCCCAGCACTTGGGAGGCTGAAAACAGGAGAATCAGCACGAGTCCGATCTGTGCCGCGAGAACGTGTACACCCTGTTCTCCTTGTAGACCCTGTCCAAAATACAGAAAATAAAAGACACCCACTCTGTAGAGTAACATCGCAAGGCATGGCCCGGGTCTCCAGGTTGGGGACCATGAGGCAGCGGTGGCCCGAGGGCCTGGGGGAGCTCCGCTGTCCCTGCAGCCTGTATCCCCTGCTCCCCTGTCTAGGTGGGAGCGGGGGGGGGTAGCTGTGTGGGAGGGGGGGCGGGCTGTGAGGACTCCCCAGGCTGTGCTCACAGCCTGCGCCCTCTCCTATCTGCGGATCGCACGCTCTTTCCTTTTTCTCTCCCGCTGCCGCCCGAACTGGACAGAACCAGCCGGGGCTGCACACGGCGGACTGGGCTGATGCCGAGCTCGGGTGAGGCCTGGCATAGCCTTGGGTGACCCCGGCCCCTGGACGAACGCAGGGAGCCCACCGAGGGGGCCGAGTGTCCCTGGGCGGGGACGGCTCTCAGGGTCCCAGAGTGCGGGAGGTCGCTGCTGCGGGCTCCCCGCTTCCCTTTCCTTCCGATTAATCTCCGTGTCTAGAATCCGGACCGGTTGAGGTCCCGGCCAGGGCTCCCTGGGCCCGGCTCGCAGGCCCTGGCTATGCGGAGCGCCCCTGCAGCCCCGAGCTCCTAGTGACCCGAAGCCGGGGCCTGGGATCTGTGCAGCCTCGCAGAGCAGCGCTGCCCCCTGCTGGCCGAGCGTCTAAGCCGGCGCTGCGCGGGGGCCAGGCTGGTGCGCAGCCCGAGGAAGTCGGAGCGAACCGACCAACTGATGGCGCGCTCTGCACCGGGATGGTGGCCAGAGCCTCGGCACCGAGCTGTGTGGCAGCCTTGCTTATTTGCATTATTTTTCCCCTTTTGAGTCAGGGTCTCACAGTTGAACTTGGGCTCCTCCTGCCTCAGCCTCCCTCAGGGCTGGGAGCCAGGCGTGGACTCCCCCTTTGTACTATCCTCGTGCACGCATTGTTCGGAAAACTTTAAAGGAGAGGGTCGCAGTCGCCTGAGGCCCAGACCTTCGCTCCACCTCGCAGGGACGCAGGGGCACCGCAGGGGGGCTGGGCGCCGGACGCCCCCCTGCTGGGACTGACTTCAGCAAACAGAAGTGCAGCCAGACACGCTGAGCGCACGCCTGTCATCCGGGCACTCTGGAGGCTGAGGCAGGAGGGTGGCGAGTTCGAAAGCAGCCTGGGCCAGTGTCTGAAAATAAAAAGTAAAACGAAAGAGTCTGGCGATGGAGCTGAGTGAGAAGGTCCTGGATTTAACCCCTCGCAATGGAGAATAATAAAACTAAACTAAATTAAGATAAAATATATAAAAAAAATAAATAGTATAACAAAATAAAATCCCCAAGAGCTGCAGCTCCCCGCTTAGCCGGCAGAGGGCGCGCGCCCTTTGCGGATTCCGCTGGCCCTGGCTTCAAGCTCGCAGCTTCCCAGCTGGACTGGCTACTGCTGAGGGCACCGGGTTGTGCCGTGCCCGGGGGCCTTCCGGCCGCAGCTCTGCAGCTTCGGAGGAAGAGGTAGAAAAGCGGCGCCTGTTGGGCAGAGTAGCGGTTGCCTTAGACCCATCCCATTGCGCTGGGAGGCCGAGGCAGGAGGATTGCGAATGGCTCCCACCCTGGGGGCCGAGGGCTGGACGTGAAGGCCCCGGGCTCAGTTCAGTTTCGGGGTGCAGCAATTCTTAAGTGTTCAGAGCCCACACAGAGGGAAACGTGAGCGGCAGCTGATGCCCTGTGAGGAGAGGGGGCTGCTCTGCCCAAAGACTCACCTCAGGGTGGCCTGTGCGTCATGGCCTGTAGCCTGGCTTGCACTGGACTGCGTGAGAGAGGCATCTGGAACCGGGGCAGGGGGCGGAGGAGGGCCAGGCTGCTACTCTTCTCCCAGCCCAGGAGCTGCATTCTGCTCACCTTGCATGAGTTCCTCCCTCTCCCTCCCCCTTCCTCTCCCCCTCCTCCTTTGTGTTACTGGGAATTGAACCCAGGGCCTTTGCCCTAAACTGCATTAAAAAAAATGTATTTAGTACAAGGTTTCACTAGATCGGACTCGTAGTGATCCTATTTTCAGCGTCTCAAGGGCTGGGATTACAGGCACGTGCTACCTCCCCCAGTCTCAGTGTGCCCTGGGGACGGGCTGGCATCATACTCCCAGGATTGAACACTGGTCTCTGGTCCCTGGTCCCTGTGTCTACCTAAGCAGGCACTTTAATCTGCTGAGCTATCTGGCTGGCCCTTGATTTTTATTTTTTGAGGGGTTATGTGTTCGGGGCTGTGCCTAGGAAATCTCTGCCTAATGCAAAACTAAAA